AGCCCTGGGAATGTAAACTATGATTGTAAGGACGAATAGTCCCTGAGGTAGGTGAACCTCAAGTAATGATTTTAGATGATTAAACATGCATGATCGGGAATGAGTTCCCGATAGGGTATTTTCCTTGGTCTAGGGATTTAATTTAAACCATGTCTGTGATATGGGAGCCCTAAGGGCCCCCGCAATAATTATCTTTGTTATCGGGTGAGTTAGCCTGCGGGTGACTTCACTCGAGGGTAGGACATGGGAAGGGTGAATTTAATGAGGCTGTTACGCCTAAATGATTTGAAAGGCAAATGGGCCCACGGGCCGGATATTTTACTCATATGTATACACGTATACGATATGTTTTGAAAAGGGGTGGCCAAGAGTTATGCCTATACATATACTATCACCCTATGTTGAGGGTCACATGTGAGAAACGTTAGTTATATTACATACGGTTTGCCCTGACCAGTACTTTTCTGTAGTACTGATCCCTCGGGGGAACCACCCTTTCAGATTGAAGCAAGAGCTTACTTCCTACACCCGTTGTTCGGGAGATCGATGGAAAGAAGACGTGGTTCGTGCTTCCTCTAGTTCTATTTCTAAATAATTAAATAATGCTCATGGAACTATTTTTGACTTATAAATTAATGAAGCCTGCGAGCTCTTGTTTTACCCTTGTGTGGGTTCGTATAAAACACTTATATTCCGCTATATGTTTAATTGTATGTTGCTGTTGTTATGTATGTTTACTAATTGATTTTGGCATATGTATCTATCGGACGTCTTGTGCAATTTAGTAAGGATGAACTGCGGTTATTCTTATTGGGTTGCACGACGGTTGTCTACGTGGCACAGACATGATCTGGGGCGTGACAGAAGAGGTCGTCGATCTCCATCGCGCATCCAGGCGGGTCACAGCAACAACGTCCTTAGGAGGAGACTGGACGAGCTCAGAAGGGAGATATATGGTAGAACCAATCTCAATCATGATGTAAGAATCCCCGATCCTTTCACGCACTAGATTATGAGCGCACCATTACCACAAGGGTACATGACATGCAACATTGAGGCCTACCGAGGGAAAACCTGTTAGGAAATTGATGTAACGTACCTCGAAAGTACAGCAGCGGAAGTTTAAAATTTTCCCAAACAGGTCTTCCCTGATTATGACAGAATAACGAATATGATAATAATAACAGATCTGAGTTAGAACTTACAGATCTTCCAGCCCAGCGGTGATAATCCTTGACCTTTGGTATCCACGTGATTTCTCCTTTCCGAAAGAACAGTTAGATCTCCCTAAGAGAAAGGCTAGGAAATCTCTTCGCAGGGAAATAAACTGGTAATACTAAATCTGAAAACTGGTCTACAAATTATGAAGGAGAAGGATGTATTTATACTAGTTCGAAACTAGTTTCCCAATCACAATGAAAGTCTTTCTAATTAATGAGTTCTAATCCTACTAGGACCAATACTCCTAATTAATTAAATAAGTAGATAAAACAAAACAAAATAATAATAATAATAATTGAGATGTGGCTGCACGCCACTTTCTAATTATTATATATTAATATTTATTTTATTTACTTTTCTTTTAATTCCAAATTACAAAAGAAAATATCTACTTTATTTAATAATAAATACATCTTAATTAAGTATGATAAATCTAAATTATCTTACTTAATTAATTCTATCAAATAGAACTCTCCTTCAGCTTCATGAATTAAATATGTTTAATCTAATTAATATTTAATTCATTTTCAGTATTACGAATTAAATATTATTTAATCCAATTAATAATATTTAATTCCTTCTAACGATTCAATCGGAAGGTATAATCACTTGTTGTGTGACCCATAGGGCCTTATATATTAAGCACTAATCAAATTAAGGTCTTAGCGAATCCCTAGACGATTCTCCAGACAAACTTAATATATAAGGACGTTTGCGAGGACTATACAAACTCCCTGTAATATAGAGCTCATAGTGATACGGTCCTTTCATTCAGCGAACATTCAACTAAGTCTAGAACATGATATAGTGTCTATCCCAATAACTCAGTCTCTGTCTCTCAATCTTTCTAGATGATCCATAACGATCATATTCGATATCCAAAACGAATATATCTTTGCATTGGCCAATGACTTTATGATCCATCTAGATATGAGAAGTAGAATGTTCTCTCTTAATCTATTATGAGGAATGAATCCTTTCTTGGCTCAACTACTACTCCATGTGCTTCGTGATGCACCCAACACATGCCGTATCTACCCCGATTGGAGTGCAAGCGTTGGTCATGGTCAAAGTACATCACTCTGCACATGTAGTATGTATTGACCTCAAGTCGGAGGACTATTACACTACTCTATACGCCGATAATCCCATAGACACATGAATAGAACTTATCAAATGGTTTCTCGGTGGGTATGCCAATATTCTCTAAAATATCTATGTGACCATCATGAATTACAGGAACTCATAGTCGTGAGATCAACTATACTTTCTAAAAGTATGATGCAGTCCACATACCAATCTTATCGCATATCATCAATATCCCATTCTTAATGATCATTGATTGAGGCTATTTTAGGACCTTATGTTATATCATATAAGCTCCCACTTACTTATTGACAACATAAGTCCAAGGGAACACAATTATGAATAAGATATTGACAATCGAAATACTTAATCATCAATGTGTAATACCGTATATATCAAATATATAAAACTGAATGTGATCAAGTACATATATCTCTAAAAAGTGATTGTCACTAGGACATATATACTAACAATCTCCCACTTGGCCTAGTGCCAATCACCAATGTGTCTAACACCTAGACTCTCAAAAGTCTACAATGTTTCTCGCATCTCAAAGGTTTGGTGAATGGGTCAGCCAAATTGTCCTCTACGGGAAGGCATTCTATTGCAACTTCTCATCTTGCTATTTGTTATCAAAACACGATAGCATATTGGTATTTTCTAGTTCCTTACTTTGCATCTTGATTCCTTAGCTTGTGCAAATGCACTGGTATAGTCACAATATCAATTATTGGATGACTATCGCTAGGATCAAATGGAACAATTTACTAGGCTCTATTTGTCGAATTTATAGTAGTTTATTACTTGCAACTCTTTCAGTACAACTATTACATTGAGACTAAAAACATATACTGACTAAGACTCGTAGTCTTTCTTATCATACATGAAACTAGTGCTAGAGTAATTAAATTCTACTAGTTCTTTCTGTCTACCATAGACAAAAAGATATTCATGAAGATTTTGGGTGACCATTCTTTCACGGAATTCAATGAGGGGATATCATTCTCTATGATCAACATATATGATTATAAAGACCACGCTATCCTTGTTGCGCACTCTAAACACGCAAGTATCCTCATTTCATTTGATGAGGTCAAACGATTTGACTATTTCATCAAAATTAATATTTCAACTCCAAGAGGCTTGTTTTAGCCCATAAATAGATTTCTCTAATTAACATAATGATTTAGAATTTGACATAGATGCAAAAGCCTTCAGGTTGTACCATGTACACCTCCTCCTTGAGGTTTCCATTAAAGAAAATGAGTTTTGATATCCATTTGTCAAATCTCATAATCATAGTATGCAGCTGTCATAAGCAAAATCCAAATGGACTTGAGTTTTGCAACTGGCAAATAGGTATCACTATAGTCAATTCCTTCTCTTTGACTATAATCTTTAGCCACTTGCCTAGCTTTGTATTTTTGCACCTTACCCTCAGCATCAATTTTCTTCTTGAAAATCCTTTGCATCCAATGGGTCTAACCCAACAGGCAAGTCAACCAAGTTCCATACTTGATTGATATACATCAAGTCCATTTTAAATTTCATGGCTTCTCACCACCTCTCTAAATCAACATCTAATATTGCTTTAGTGTAGGTCTTAGGTTCATCCTTATCAGGAATCTCAACATCATCATGATCCTCCATGAGGAAGTCAAACCTAGTTAGTTCATGACGAATCCTAGTAGACCCACAGAGGTGAATGTTTTGCGTTTTGTTCAGGCTGCTCATTCTGATCGTGAAAAGGTTCTCTTTCATTGGACTATCCAATGCTCAGAGACTTTTCCGGTGCTACACTTTTAAGTATTTCCAGATAAAGAGAAGTGAGTGCAGAAGGAATGACAACCATGTCATCTCTTTCTTCAGTAAGAATCACTTGCTGGTGCGAGGTGATTCCTATGTTACTCCCACTAGTTGAAAGACATCCTCCTAGAGACATGTTTCCACTTAATTCTCCCATTGAATCCTTCGTCAGACCATCTAACGAATCTTCATTTTTATTGTTACTTCACCTTTCAATTTGATTAGTGCACATTTCTTTACATATGTAGGGCAACCCATATTTAATATGTGAAGAAATTGTCTTTTATTATACTATAACTCATATAGTACGTTTTGCACTAATCAAACTATTCAGAATGCATATTGAGATTTATAGCGTGTACCCTCAAAAGAATGTTTGGAAGAGAAACTGAATTCATCATAGATCTAGCCATGTCTAACAAAGCCATATTTCTCCTTACAGAAACGCCAGTCTTCTAAGGTGTTCTGGAGGAGTTCATTATGACCGAATTCTTTGACCTTTTAAATAAATCAGAAATTTTACTCAAGTACTCTTTGGCTTGCTATCCTTTTTCCTAGAAAAGGTTTATTAGTCAAGTTGCTTGAAAGACAAGATTCGCAATTTCCATGTGACTCAAAAGCAAATGGTGTTAAATAATCTAATTCATTTAACGTTGCTATTCTTGTTTCATTAATTTGACCAAGTTTGCAATGTCATAGATAGGTAGTAATTTTTTCTGATTACTTAATCGAGATCCTTTTATTTTATTCATTTAATATCTAATATGTCGATTGATAATTAACCATTCATAAGAAAAGAATTTCCACAACAACACCATTTTATGAAAATAACAATTATTATTAACAAAATTGAAATAGAAATCTTTTAATGTCTAACATATGAATGGAAATAATCTTCTTGGTAATAGAAGGAATAAAATAACAATTATTTAATTCTAATCTAAAACCACTGGGCAAATCTAAACTATAAGATCCTATCACGTTCAGCAGCAACTTTTGCTCCAGCCTTCACGCGTAGGTCAATTTTACCCAGTCCAACTGCTACACTGCTTCTCAGGCTTCTGCACATTTTTACAAATGTGTAAGCCATAAGTTGTATCTAATACTTTAACAATGAGAGTTAGTTATAGACATATTTATTTAATGATAAAAATACCTGAGCTTGAAGCACCCGGTGCTTTGGCTAGATCAGCCTTATACAGCTCACAATATCTCTTCCAATGCCCCTTCTCTTTGCAGTAGAGGCAAACATCCTTTGCAACCTTTGGCTTCATATGATCTCCACCTTTAGGCTTCAGAGCTGTAGGAGTAGGTCCAACCTTACCTTTCTTCTTTTGCTTATTCTTGTTCTTAGAACGAGACTTAGCATTAGAGCTTACCATAAGAACAGTCTTTCCTTTAGAGGTTGAGACTTCATAAGACTTGAGCATGTTATGGAGTTCAGGCATGGTCGCTTTCATTTTGTTCAAATTATAATTCACAATGAAGTTAGTAAATGAACTTGGAAGCGAATATAGGATGATAGCAGCTGAGACACGATCCTCAAACTTAATTCCGGTGGTAGCAACCCTTTCAATTAAGCCAATCATTTTGAGGACGTGCTCAGACACGTTGCCACCCTCTTGAAGCCTACACTTGAAAATGTCTGTCAGAAGTTCATACTCTAGAGTCTGACTTTCTGAATCAAACAGACTTTTCAAGTGTTCAAGCATCTCGAAGGCGCTCATCCTATCGTGTTGCCTTTGCAACTCCATAGACATTGCAGCCAACATAACACATTGCACTGTTTTAGCATCAGTGGCGTGTTTCTCTCGAGCGGTCAGGTCAAACGTTGCAAACTCAGGAGAGTTGGCATCAGGAATCTTGGGTACCGGTGTGTCTAACACATACTCAATATTTTCTTGTCTAAGAACTAAACGCACATTTCTTTCACAGTCCAGAAAGTTTGGTCCAGTAAGCTTGCACGTATCCAAGATACTTCTCAATGATAAATTCGACATTTCTAAGAGCCTAGAGAAGTTCAAATAGAACGGGAATTAAAATCATATATTAATTCCTATGATCACATTTAGTAAACTAAATAAGTTGGACTTTTAATTATTTAGCTCCCACTATTTTTACATGCTCTTTGACCCCAATAAAAAGAACATGGATTGTTTTCATAACCATAGTGGCCAAGATCCACATTCATATTATTACAGTCCCAACTTGGGCTGATCACTGCAATAATATAATGGGTAGGTCCATAGACCAATTGCATCCAAGCAATTCTTGGTTGATCAATTTTGAATTGATCGACATCCCTAAATTAACACTGACGCTTGGGCGACTCGAGCTAATTTAAGTAAGTCAAAACCATCACACGATCACAAACATATGTATCTATAAATTAGTTCTATATTTTGTCGAATGGAATAAACACTTGGGTGAAATATTCTTCAACGAAAAAATGTTTCTACTAATTTAATTATGATGGGTGATGTTGTTATCCCAGATAAGACTTAAATTTTAATTTATGGGGAACGTTTAGCAGGTATTAAATTACTTAATCAAGATGCTAATAACATATTATCAAATAATATGTTAACGAGATCTATCTCACACAGATAATTTAAAACATGCAATATAAATCTAATTTATAAATAGATACAATTATCAAATAATCAATTAAACATACTTAAAATGAATGATAATAACATAATTATCAATCAAATCAATTATGAAATTAAGCTACCTTTTTCATATAATTAAAAAGCTTAATTTTATTAAAATCTTCCTTACGTAATGTTCTAGGAGTACAAGACTCCAACTTATACTATCTATTAAACTACATAGTGTCCTAATCTTCACCAAAAAGAAAGAAGGACGGAAACTCAATTCCAAGTTGGATTCTCATAGGTCTCCAACAATTCAGTCCTTTTCCTCCATCCTCACAGAATCGAAGAAACATAATACACCATCGTTTTTTTTTTAGATTCCAAATGATAATAATTTCTTAATTTCAAAAATTAAAAAAAAAAAATATCAAAAGCTAAAGCAGAGGATGTTCCATTCAATTCTTAAATGCAGAACAACTAATTTCATCTCATTAAACCCAAACCGTCGTACGCTACTTCAAAAGTGTTCGTCAATCGCCATCGAACATGCCGATCATAGTAGAGCGAGTTCTTCGACTAAATCGTGCATCTCTCAGATCGTAGTTGCAACAGGTCAAATCGGAGTATAGCAGTTCAAAGTTCGTCGATCTTCTTCTTTGTTCAGAAATCGAAAAGGAAGAGGAAAGAAAACTAAACACTGCTGTTGGGTTTGGAAAACAAATTCAGAAGCAGACGAAACGTAAAATCTTACAAATTCGAAGTTCGAAGATGCGTCCTTCTAAAGAGATGCAGGGCTATAATTATGCTACCAGATTTTAATTTCTACAAATTAAATTTTTAGATTTGTTCAAAAGGGTTTGATTTCGCAAATCAAACAACGACAAAAATATTTATGGATCGAAATACATATTTTTGACTTACGAATATACATATCAAAATTCGTATAATGTCATTAGAATCAGTTTGGCTCTGATACCACTGTTAGGAAATTGATGTAACGTACCTCGAAAGTACAGCAGCGGAAGTTTAAAATTTTCCCAAACAGGTCTTCCCTGATTATGACAGAATAACGAATATGATAATAATAACAGATCTGAGTTAGAACTTACAGATCTTCCAGCCCAGCGGTGATAATCCTTGACCTTTGGTATCCACGTGATTTCTCCTTTCCGAAAGAACAGTTAGATCTCCCTAAGAGAAAGGCTAGGAAATCTCTTCGCAGGGAAATAAACTGGTAATACTGAATCTGAAAACTGGTCTACAAATTATGAAGGAGAAGGATGTATTTATACTAGTTCGAAACTAGTTTCCCAATCACAATGAAAGTCTTTCTAATTAATGAGTTCTAATCCTACTAGGACCAATACTCCTAATTAATTAAATAAGTAGATAAAACAAAACAAAATAATAATAATAATAATTGAGATGTGGCTGCACGCCACTTTCTAATTATTATATATTAATATTTATTTTATTTACTTTTCTTTTAATTCCAAATTACAAAAGAAAATATCTACTTTATTTAATAATAAATACATCTTAATTAAGTATGATAAATCTAAATTATCTTACTTAATTAATTCTATCAAATAGAACTCTCCTTCAGCTTCATGAATTAAATATGTTTAATCTAATTAATATTTAATTCATTTTCAGTATTACGAATTAAATATTATTTAATCCAATTAATAATATTTAATTCCTTCTAACGATTCAATCGGAAGGTATAATCACTTGTTGTGTGACCCATAGGGCCTTATATATTAAGCACTAATCAAATTAAGGTCTTAGCGAATCCCTAGACGATTCTCCAGACAAACTTAATATATAAGGACGTTTGCGAGGACTATACAAACTCCCTGTAATATAGAGCTCATAGTGATACGGTCCTTTCATTCAGCGAACATTCAACTAAGTCTAGAACATGATATAGTGTCTATCCCAATAACTCAGTGTCTGTCTCTCAATCTTTCTAGATGATCCATAACGATCATATTCGATATCCAAAACGAATATATCTTTGCATTGGCCAATGACTTTATGATCCATCTAGATATGAGAAGTAGAATGTTCTCTCTTAATCTATTATGAGGAATGAATCCTTTCTTGGCTCAACTACTACTCCATGTGCTTCGTGATGCACCCAACACATGCCGTATCTACCCCGATTGGAGTGCAAGCGTTGGTCATGGTCAAAGTACATCACTCTGCACATGTAGTATGTATTGACCTCAAGTCGGAGGACTATTACACTACTCTATACGCCGATAATCCCATAGACACATGAATAGAACTTATCAAATGGTTTCTCGGTGGGTATGCCAATATTCTCTAAAATATCTATGTGACCATCATGAATTACAGGAACTCATAGTCGTGAGATCAACTATACTTTCTAAAAGTATGATGCAGTCCACATACCAATCTTATCGCATATCATCAATATCCCATTCTTAATGATCATTGATTGAGGCTATTTTAGGACCTTATGTTATATCATATAAGCTCCCACTTACTTATTGACAACATAAGTCCAAGGGAACACAATTATGAATAAGATATTGACAATCGAAATACTTAATCATCAATGTGTAATACCGTATATATCAAATATATAAAACTTAATGTGATCAAGTACATATATCTCTAAAAAGTGATTGTCGCTAGGACATATATACTAACAAAACCAACCCCCAGCATCATGTCTCCAGGTATGTAGCCTACATGGTTATGATGGGGTATGATGACGTCATCAAGTGTAGGGGGTTCTCGGTGACTTTAGACGGGCCAGCCCGGGAGTGGTATGATTCCTTGCCATATTGGAGGATAAGGAATTTTCGGGAGTTAGCACATGCGTTTGTGGAACATTTTTTCACCTCTATGGGTTCCAAGAAGAACGTCTCTCACCTCTTGGGAATTAAGCAGGGCCCCCAAAAGACCTGGTTGATTTCCTAGTCCGCTGCAAGGATGAGTCAGTCAAGGTAGAGGATCTAGATGACAAATCTACTGTAGCTATTTTTACCAATGCTCTGAGGTCGGGTGAGTTACACAAAGACTTCATACGAAAGCCCCCAACCTCACACGAGGAGGCCCTACTGCGCGCGAACGCGCAAGCCGAAGTAGAGAAAGCCGAGAAGCGGAAGAGAGATGAGGAGACTGGAAGGCCCCAACCTGATGGGAAAAAAAGAGCTCAGAGAAAGAGATCCAAGACCAAGATAAGGGGAATGGGTTCAAGAAGAAGAAGGGCTGGGGAAAGGGCAAACCAAATGTTCCAGCCAGCCTGAATTTCCAGTTAGCACGGTCCTGGATTACGCGGCGAAGCAAGGTCTGATCACGATCCTTGAGGGTTGTAACGTCGTCAACAGTCAACCCCCCAGGGGTAAGTATTGCAAAATTCATAAAAGCGATACCCATGAGACTGAGGAGTGTTACATCCTGAAAAAATATGTGGAAAAGCTTGCCCGAGAAGGACAACTAGATCAATTTGTGAAGAAAAGTCGGCAGGAACAACATCCGAGGAAAAACACCTGGAACAAGAGGAAAGATGAGTCGGCCTCAACCTCTAAAAAGAGGGAGGTCGGAGCCCAGTTCGAGGATGATGATGAAGGAGAGGATTCAGACCGACAAAAGCGCCCGCACGTCAACCAAATCTATGTCGGACCTGCGAAGGAGACTGCGCGAGAGAAAGAAAGAAGTGGAATCGACAACTATTCGTCGGGGAAATCAATCGTCTTCCTGCTGACAAAAGGCAGAAACAGGAATCCATTACTTTCACGAATGACGATCTCCCCCCATGTCCCCCACCCCACAGAGATGCTTTGGTGATAAAAATGGAGGTTATGGATGCAATTGTCCACAAAGTTCTCGTGGACAATGGAAGCTCAATCAACATACTATACATGGATGCTTTCATGGAGATCGGGCTCCAGAAAGGAGCTCTCAGACAGGTAAGAACCCCTCTTTCAGGTTTCACCGGAGACACGGTTGAGCCGGAAGGGATGATCACCCTCAAGATCCAGCTCGGATCAGAACCCTGTGTCCAGGAAATCGAAACAGATTTCGTGGTTGTTCAGCTGTCTAGTGTTCACAAGGTCATCCTGGGCCGACCTCTACTGGAAGACCTGGGAGTCATTGTTTCTCAGGCACATATGTGCATAAAGTTCTACACACTGGCGAGAATTGGAACAGTTAGAGGGGACCAGAAGATGTCCAAGAGTTGCTATGTGAGAGCTTGCAAAGCTCACGGAAGAAGTGATATGAGGATCAATGCTATCAAACAGGACTTCCCAGGATACGAGTATGCCCAACTTAACTTTCTTCCAGGCTTTATATATAACCAGATATATTTGAAGAATGAAAACATAAATTCTTTAATTTCTTATCATCAAATAACCTATCAAAAAAGGTGAGCCTTGTGTTAAATCTTCGCAAACCATGAAGTGTGATGCTAGGTGTTGTTAAAAAGATTTTGAGAGAGAGAGAGTATTAGCATGTTTTAAACCAGGGAGAATTTTTGTTAAAATCTTCACAAACCATTAAACTCCGATCCAAATCAAAAGGAAAGAGTGAATTTTATATAAGACAAGTATTAACATATTGCCTCAAAATACATATAAAGCATTAAAAGCGTGAGCCATTTATACATTCTGATATCGTTCAATCTGGTTCGGGCTGAGGGGCGTGTTAAAATATTTGTTCCACACTGAAAAGTTATAAAACAATAAAACACTGTATAAAGATTTGGGTACTCCTCCTATATATCAAGTTTACCTTTTAGGATGGAATCCCGAGAATTAACATGATATCAGATCAAAATTGATCCATAGTGTGGCCCCCCTATGAAAAATGATGGCACAATTAAAAAAATGACAAAAACGAACCGATAAAAAATGAATGACGACGTGATTAAGATGAAATGTGTGTGGTCGTGAGGAGGGTTGTTGTCACACACCAGATATGTCTTAACCAATTAAACACTATATTAAGATCTGGGCTTCTCATCCTATCAGCTTGATCTCTTAGGATGAAACATCAGGTCTTAAGAATAACATTATTTAATATTAAACTTAAATATTAAAATAACTCTTTGAAAATAAAACAATTGATAAAAAATTCAAAAAACTTTTTCACACTTGAGCCGCACGTAAACCCGCCTAAATATCAAAGGCTTAAGATTTTATCTCGCTGCCACGACGCGCCTTATGCCTTTGAGGTTATGAGTCCCAATTGAAGATGGTTGACCGATGAGAGATGAGTGCTGACTCATCCTTGGAGTGATCCTAAATGGAAACTCGATGTCACATGCTTATCCATATTCAATGTATGAATCTTACGAATTTGTATGTTTCAAATTAGCTTATGAATCCAAAACTTATGATTTTTTATTGGATAGAGTGCTCTCATATTAAAATGGAATGAATCAGCCGATGAAATTTACGAAGTTGTGACTCAGATGACTGGATTGAATGATTTTGTCGATTTATGAAAAACAAGTTAAAATAATTTTATTAATAAATTACAGAAAAAATTATATCAAGAAATAACTAAAATGATACTCCACACTAATTCCGGCCAATAGTCAGAAAAGTAACACCCAAACTCACTTTTTCTTATTCTTACATAAGTCAGTGCACAAAATCAAAAGTTACTTGTTTGGTGAAAAAGTTGACTAATAAGTCTGATAAACCGAAAAATGGGGTCACCCGCACGAGCTCAGAATCTACTCGAATCGCTCGAATTTGTTGAAATAAGTAAAATTCTTTGTTAGAATCATTAAAAAGTAACCTTTAAAGTACTACCTCAATCCCTCTATTATTGTCCCATTGCGGTTTACGATGCTTGACCGACGATAAAACAAACGAATCATGGTCTGCACTCAAACTATTTTTAGGGAAAAAAGTACATATTCAGAAACTACACTAAAAGCTTTACAAAGTCACAAAAAGCAGAATCAAATTTGATGTAAATTTGATATATAAAGAAAGAGATTAAGAGTGATTTGTGTTGACCAAGTGAATAGGATTTGAGAAAATAATAGGGGGATGGAGGGAGTATATTTTATTAACTATATAAAAAATAAATGAAAAAGTTAAAATAGTTTTTTCAATTAAAAAATAATCAATTAATTATACAGAAAAAAATAAATCTAGTATTACTTATTCTGAGTGTTCGAGAAATTAAAAATTCAATATTAATAAAAAGATTGATTCATTAAATTGATAAGCTGAAATAGAGGTTACCAAAAACCAATATTCACTCGCCGTTTACTATCGCTTATATGGAACTTTTCAAATGCTATGAAAACTATGGGCCTGTTTGACACTCAGCGGTTAGCGGATTCTATTAGCGGGTAGTAAATAGCGGATTTGATCAACGGATTTGACCAGTGGATTAGTTTGGCGGCCGGTTGCAAAAAGATGTTTTATAATTTAGCTGTTTAGTTGTAGCAGTTAGTAGATAAAAAGACTAAAAAGGACATTGTAAAATATAAGCATGTGTTTTTTGTTTAACTAGTTACTCCACCCGTGCGCTGCACGGGAGTGAGACACCCACATAATAATTTAGATATAATTATATATTTAAAAATATTTAAAAATATGATTGTGTTAGAATTATTTGAAAACATTAAATAAATTCTGAATAAAAGGTATGAACTAAATGTAAAACATCACACGATAAAATGGATGAGCATTTGAATCCACCACACTATAACGAAAATTATAAATTACTCTATAGTACAAATTTCTTTGCAAACAACATTCAATGTTGATTTGGTTGGTTGTCCATCTTCGTCATTACAAACTCCAATCCGATGAACTTGTTACTCTCCACACCGCCACGTGCAAATGTTTGTGAGTAATAATGGAGCGTCAGAGTAAGATGACAACCTTTTTCAACGATTGTCCGTGACTCTTATTAATGGTCATTGCAAACCTAACAATTTTAGGCGGAGAATGCTTAGGCGGGGAAATTTCCTCTCTCCAATGTAGTGCTTTTAGGTATATGATGAAATTACATTTTAGGATTTTAGGATTATAGGATGATAATTTTTTTTGTGGAAAGTGTAATTACATTTTAGGATTTTAGGCGGAGAATGCTTAGGCGAGAGAATTTTCTCTCTCCAGTGTAGTGCTTTTAGGTATAGGATGATTTTTTTTGCGGAAAGTTAAATTACATTTTATGATTTTAGGCGGAGAATGCTTAGCCGGGAGAAATTTCTCTCTCCAGTGTAGTGCTTTTTGGTATAGGATGATTTTTTTTTGCGGAAAGTGAAATTACATTTTAGGATTTTAGGCGGAGAATGCTTAGTCGGGAGAATTTTCTCTCTCCAGTGTAGTGCTTTTAGGTATAGGATGATGATTTTTGTGTGGAAAGTGTAATTACATTTTAGGATTTTAGGCGGAGAATGCTTAGGCGAGAGAATTTTTTCTCTCCAGTGTAGTGCTTTTAGGTATAGGATGATTTTTTTTTGCGGAAAGTTAAATTACATTTTAGGATTTTAGGCGGAGAATGCTTAGCCGGGAAAATTTCTCTCTCTAGTGTAGTGCTTTTAGGTATAGGATGATTTTTTTTGCGGAAAGTGAAATTACATTGTAGGATTTTAGGCGGAGAATGCTTAGTCGTGAGAATTTTCTCTCTCCACTATAGTGCTTTTAGGTATAGGATGATGATTTTTTTTTGTGGAAAGTGTAATTACATTTTAGAATTTAAGGCGGAGAATGCTTAGGCGGGAGAGTTTTCTCTCTCGAGTGTAGTGCTTTTAGGTATAAGATGATTTGTTTTGCAGAAAGTGAAATTACATTTTAGGATTTTAGGCGGATATGCTTATGCGGGAGAATTTTCTCTCTCCAGTGTAGTTCTTTTAGGTTTATGATGATGATGATGATGATGCTTTTTTTTGTGTGGAAAGTGAAATTACATTTTAGGATTTTAGGCGGAAAATTTTCTCTCTGCAGTGTAATACTTTTAGGTATATGATGATAATATGAAATTACATTTTAGGATTTTAGGATTATAGGATGATGATTTTTGTTTTTGTAGAAAGTGTAATTACATTTTAGGATTTTAGGCGGAGAATGCTTAGGCGGGAGATTTTTCTCTCTCCAGTGTAGTGCTTTTAGGTATAGGATGATTTTTTTTTTTTTTTTGCGGGAAGTGAAATTACATTTCAGGATTTTAGGTGGAGAATGCTTAGACGGAAGAATTTTCTCTCTCCAGTGCAGTGCTTTTAGGTATAGGATGATTTGTTTTTGCGGAAAGTGAAATTACATTTTAGATTTTAGGCGAAGAATGCTTAGGCGGGAGAATTTTCTCTATCCAGTGTAGTGCTTTTAGGTATATATCATATATATATATATATGCTATATATGATGATGATTATTATTATTTTTTTGTGCGGAAAGTGAAATTACATTTTTAGATTTTAGGCTGAGAACGCTTAGGCGGAAGAATTTTCTCTCTCTAGTGTAGTGCTATTAGGTATAGGAGGGAAGCAGTGTGAGTGAAGTGTTTGTTGATTAGGGTTACCACGTAGTGAGAGAAGCTCTGGCGACCTGGTGAGATGATCGACCCTCCTGCGGCGGTGAAGCCGCCGTTACCAACGACGGTGAATAACGCTTGGATGAAAAAATCATTTGCGGAAGTGCTCGTTGATCATTCAGATCCTCCCCTTACCGTGAAGACTCCCTCACGATTCAAAGGATTGCATGCTGTTACCTTCCCTGAGGAGGAGATTCGTTCGTTGACAGCTCGTCACAATAGGGTTCTTGTGGGTTATTTTTATAAGAGCAGGCCGAATCTATCTGTTATTCGCAAATCCTTTGAAATTATAGGATTTTCTGGTGTATTTCATCTTGGATTAATTGATCCTAAGCATATTTTAATCCGTTTTGAGTCAGATGATGATTTTTACCATTGCTGGAACAAACAGACTTGGTCAATCTGGGGTAGTATTATGCGGGTTACAAAGTGGACGCCGGATTTTCGACCTAATGTAGAGTCCCCGATTGTTCCTGTTTGGATTGGCTTTGAATGCTTACCCCTCCATCTCCAGGACAGAAGAGCATTGTTTGATATTGCGGGGCTCGTTGGTAAGCCTCTAAAGATAGATGCAGCCACTGCAAATCTATCTCGACCTTCTATGGCACGAGTGTGTGTTGAACTAGACCTAACAAAGGAACTCCCGCAGAAAGTCTGGATCCAATGTGGATCTTCAGGCTTTTCCCAAACCGTCATTTATGAGGATAAACCGGACTACTGTAAGTTATGCCTTCATCTTGGGCACTCGGTTTCTAAATGCCCCAAGAAGAATCATAACAATGAAGGGATGCATACCACTGCTAAGATTACAAAGAAAGAGGTTGGAACTTATACATCCCAAGATAAAGAAAAGCGGGTTGCCAAACTGCCACCACATCGCTTACAAATTACACAAGGAGAAATTGGGACACATAGTAAACAGATTACATACCCTTCTTCTTCCAAGCAAGGAAGAATTGATGTTTCCTAAGAGGATCCATAAATTGTTGACCTACAAGAGGATCATGACACTGAAGAGGTTTATCATGACCCTGCACCTGAACCAATACCTGAAATGGTTGAGATTTCAAAGCTCCATGAGAACGATAAGAATACATGGGTCAATGCTGAAATTTCTGGCATGAATACTACCAAACCTATAGGGCCAATTATAGATGATTCCAAGTTTTCTATGCTGCATCAAGAGCTGGAAATTGATCCTGACTTGGCCCGCAAAGATTATTCATCAGATAACGGGAACCCCAAAAATATAGAGGACATTCATTGCTGGATAAGTGATCTGCCTAATATCATTAAGAGGGTTCAGTTCATTGTTAAACAAAAGGAGTTACTTAAGGCTAATAATGTTACAAGTACAAATAGCAACTTTGGGGAGGAAGCTGGTTTTACTGTTGTCAGAGGAAAGGGTTACAAGAAGAAAAAATTCCCAGGTGTACCTTCTATGGTAACCAGGAATACAGCCAAGAAACTTGCCTTGGCTAAACAAAATCCACAAGCTTCAGCCTTAGGGCTCTCAAAAACTACTTCTTCCAATTCTAAATGAATTGTTTATTTTGAAATTTAAGAGGGCTAGAAGGTGCTGCTCCTAGACTTTTCTCTCTTATTCAGCAATGGAACATTCATTTTCTCGTGGTTATTGAGCCTATTGTTCATCTTAATAAAGCTGAAGATTATATGAGGCAGTTTGGTTTTAATAAAGTTCTGACTTCTGGCATTAGTAAAGTCTGGTTATTTTGGAATGACTTCCAGTTTAATGTTAATGTGTTAGAATTGCACCCTCAATTCATACACATTAAAATTAACTCTGGGATTTTTCTCGTTATATTACCTCCATCTATGGTAATCATAATTATATTCATAGGAGAATATTATGGGAGAAGCTAAAGCAGTTCTCTACTTTGATTAAGGAATCCTGGATTGTGGGTGGGGATTTCAACTCTATTGCTTCTTACTCTGATCATTCAGGTCAAGCTATGCCACAATTGACTAGTATCTTGGATTTCTCCAATTGTATAGCAGACTGCAGACTCAATGACATGCCATTTGGTGGTTCAACATTTACTTGGACTGGAGTCAGATCTAATGGTAGAGTCTGGAGGAGGTTGGATAGGGTCTTATTTAACAACAATTGTATAGATGATTTTGATCATATCCAAATTACCCATCTTAATAAAACCTCATCTGATCATTCCCCTATTTTGGTTCATCTTTCTAATAAGGGTCTCTCAGGTCCTAAACCTTTCAGATTTCAGAACATGTGGATTGGACATCATACTTTCATGGATTTTGTGGCTAATAAATGGCACTCTTACAGTTCTGGGAGGGGGATGCTTGGTTTAGTTTACAAGTTGAAGAGCTTAAAACAGGATTTAAAGGTTTGGAATAAAGAGGTTTTTGGTAACATCATTGATGGCATTAAAGCTTGTGAACAACAGGTTTTAGATGCAGAAATATGCTATGAAAATGATCCCACTGAGGCAGCTAGATCTGACTTGTCTTTGAAGAAAGCTCTTCTTTTATTCAAATATAAGTTTGAAAAAAAATTTTGGAAGCAGAAAGTTCACCTTAATTGGCTCAAAGATGGGGACTCCAACACTCATTTCTATCACTCTTACGTGAAGATTAAACACAGAAAACAGTAACTCACTTCTATTCAGAATGCATCAGGGGATGTGGTTAATACCTTATCTGACATGGGGGATGCTGTTGTCACTTACTTCTCTAGATTATATGATCATCAACAGGGTGGGAATCCTGATGAAATCCTGCATACCAAAATTAGTAAAGGATGATGATAATTTAGCATTAGTTGCTCTTCCTAATGCTGATGACATCAAAGAAGCTATTTGGTCTCTAAATCAAAATGGAGCTGCTGAACTTGATGGATATAATGGAATTTTTTTAGAAAATGCTGGTCTATTGTCAGTCCTGATGTGACAAGTGTAGTTCAAGATTTTTTTCTTGGGGTTCCTATTCCCAAAGGGCTGTCTAGCACTCTTGTTGCCTTGATCCCTAAAAAAGATAATCCCACTTCTTTTTCAGATTTTAGGCCAATATGTCTTTCCAATTTTATTAATAAGGTCTTGTTCTTTTGGCGGAAGACTCATCTTGATTAAACATGTTCTGGGGTCCATTCCCATGCATCTTTTGGCAGTAGATCTTCTGCCTAATAAAATTACAAATACACTTGAGAAGAAAATGGCTAATTTCTTTTGGGGTACTTCTAATAATAGACCCAAATATCATTTGGTCAGTTGGAAGAAACTTTGCTATCCCAAAGAAGAAGGGGGTTTGGATATTAGATCACTTAAAGATGTTGAAAGAGCTTTTTCTCTTAAACTTTGGTGGAAATAGAAGACTTCTTCCTGTTTTTGGTCTGAGTACAAATAATGCCTTCCCCGGAAAGGTATTGGCCTAGTCCCCCTTTCTTTTTTTGTATCTCTCTATTTTCTAATAAAACACGGTAAACGTTCCCCGGCATTTACCCCACTGATTTTGGTGGTTTGCCTTCCGGGTTAAAAAAAAGGTATAGGATACTACGTATGAGTTTCGGACTATACTAATTAATAAATAATACTCCCTCCGTCCCTTAAAACTTTGTCATCTTTCCTTTTTGGTATGTCCCAAAAAACTTTGTTGCTTTTCCTTTTAATCAATTATTTTGTGGTTTCTGTTTTTTCTCTCTCCTCTGCACAAATCTCAATCTCACAGTTTTTACTTTATTATTCTCCATCCCGGTCAACTTTGACAAAGTTTTAAGGGACGGAGGTAGTAGTATGATAATCCTCTATAAAAATATGATAATAAGAAGTGAAACTACAGTGCAGTGGTGTGATATGTGGTCATGATTTTTGAAGACTGCAGAAGGATAAATAACTTGAAAGATTGTAAATCTACAGAGTATTACATAGCTACGAATTTTTAAATATCAATACTTGTATAAATCAAAAGTCAAAACAGAGATCCAATAGATGAAGGATCAATATATACGTACAGAATGAAGGCACTGAACGAAAGAAATCGCTGGCCTTCAAGTGGCTGCTGCAAGACAGAATACGAAGATGAGAGGGTACTCTATGGAATTTTATACTCCCTCCGTCCCGGAATTATTTTCATACTTTCCTTTTCGGTTTGTCCCAAATTTTTCTCCTCTTTCCCTTTTTAGCAAAGAATTTGTGGTTCACAATCATTCTTACACATTCTTACACGTTTCTCTTTCGTCTACACAACTCTCCACCACACATTTCCCACTATCTTAATATGTGTGTCAATTGTACTTGTGAAGATAAATATGGGACGGAGGGAGTATTTGTTTCAATCCGCCAAAACCTAAACGCTCCGATTTGTAGCATTTTTTGTTTTGGCGGTTTCATCCCAAATGCCGGTGCTAAACTCCATTTGCCAAACGGAATAAAAACAGAGATTCGAGTCCTCCGAAACGCCAAAGCAGTCAAAGACGCTGATTTTGGACCGAAACGCCGATATCCAAACAAAGCCTAAATAACTTTTACGAAAAAATGTGATAATATACTCCATTTGTCTCTTACAACTTTATCAAGTTGGACAGACATGGAAAATCATTAAGTAAAAACGATATGATTTAGGTGTATACGGTAAAAAGAGGATTAATTGAAAGATAGTAAGGTTATACGGGATGGAGAATTAATAGGAAGGATAATCAATTTGCTTATGAAAGTAATTCCAGTGTTATTTATTTTGAGTGTTACCAAAATTCAACACGAGAAATTAAAATTTTAATTTTTAATAGAAGACACTGATTTATAAAGTTATTAATTTGAAATAGAAGTTTCCAGAAAACTCGATATTTACTTCTCTTTACTATCGTTAATATGAAACATTTTTAAATATTATGATAACTAGATAACATTTACGAAAAAGATGAAACAATGTACTTTTCTGTCTCCTCTACTTTATCAAATTTAACTAGCACAAAAAAAAAATATGTATGGTTTGTGTGTATATAATGAAAAGGGAATTAATGAAATTATAAGGGACGGAGAATTGATATGAACGATTAGAATATTCCTACACCCTTTTAACCAAATCCATTATCCATAATCCATATAGTCACCCTCAATGAGAATTGATGGGCCAGATAAAACTTATCTGGTTAGTTCACGCTGGTCAGCGTTGTATGTGGGACGCATCACCGGGCCTATCATGCGATGACAGGACATTGCACTGGTTTTGGGCCGACTATATCAAAATACAAATTAGTTACATTCATCATAGAATTAGTTACAAATCCTGCCCCCATACTACACATGTACTTTTCCCGTTCTTCAATAATTTTAATATTGGATTTTGTACATGATTTTCTACCATATACGATAGTATATAATCAAATTATCACGTCTAAAATGTTACTCCCTCCGCCATCTATAATTGTACCATTTTTTCATTTTGGATGTCCCTTTATTATTGTCTCATACCATATTTGGTAACATTTGTGTAGCTCTAATTCATTCTTACTTTATTTCCACTTTATCAACTCATTAGCAACCACATAATTCTATTTTTCTTAAAAACCACACCACTCCTTTCCGTACCAATATTAGAGTCAAGGACGGAGGGAGTATTAAATTTCTATTAATTAAATTTCCAAAATGATGGGGTTATGCGACCTAGGCCCAGAGCCTAATCGGCCCAGGCCCCAAACTTGGATCTCATACAATCATGAGATCTTCCCTGATCTCCCTCAAAATGTAAGGCATATCCCTCATCGTCCTCGAGTTCCAAAACTTTACTGTAGCAATCAACTCGAGCATGATGCTTCTCAAGCCAATTCATCCCTACGATTGCATCTGATGGATAGTGTACCCGAGGGGTAGCTTATCCGAGGGGTTATTACGGTGAATAAACTAGAGAGAAGTCAGAGCAAGTAAGTAAGAGAGAGAATCAAATGTATTAGATGAACACGTTGTGTTTTACAAGGTGAATAAGGGCTGCTATTTATAGCAGCTATAAATGCGATGAGAGTACACGTGTCAACAATCTAACGGCCGAGGGGTCACCTCAATCGGGGTGGCACCGACATATGCGTGTGCACCGCATTAAATGCGGTGGGTGGATGTGACGCCGTTTTAAATGCGGTGGTTGGTTGTCTCTAAAAGGAATCTTTGTCGATAGTTCTGTTGCCAAAGGTATCGTGTGGTCGAAGGAATCATGTGGCCGAAGGCATCGGGTGGCCGAAGCCATCGGGTGGCCGAAGGCATCATGTGGCCGAAGGCATCATGTGGCCGAAGGCATCATGTGGCCGAAGGCATCATGTGGCGAAGGCATCGGGGGCGAAGGCATCGGGTGGCCGAAGGCATTGTGTGGCCGAAGGCATCGGGGGACGAAGGCATCGGGGGGCTAAAGGCATCATGTGGCCGAAGGCATCGTGTGGTCGAAGGCATCGTGTGGCCGAAGGCATCGTGTGGTCGAAGGCATCGGGTGGCCGAAGGCTAACATTTTAGCCTGGAATTTCCAGAAGCTTTGCAGGACCATATTGAGATGTCTCCCAGAATTTGGAGCCCTCAGCCATAAGGCCAAAGGCATCCACGTGTGCAGCGTGGGCTTCTTCATGCTTGGGCCGCTACGTTTGGGCTTTGCGTGCTCATCGGGCTTGATGGGCCTGTGTAGAAGAAGCATGAGTCTATGGGTCGGGGTGCATGTCCCAGGCCATATACTCCATTAGGAGCCCCCCACTCCTTTTGCCGAGAGTTTCTCGAGGGAAATAGGAGTAGTGTGTTGAAGTTGCCGATGGCTCCCTTTCTGCAACTGAAGAATAACAATTTTCAAGTTTGATTATTTTTGCTGAAGGGAGTAGATTGTCGTTGTGATCTTGCCTCAGCTTGCTGTAGCTGAGAAATAGAAATTTTTTAACATTTGCGTGTTTTGCCGAGGGGAGTTCCCCGGGAGTCCCCCACTCCTTTTACCGAGAGTTCCTCGATGGAAACAGGAGTAGAGTGATGCATGCCTTCAGCAGGAGCCGCCGAGGGGTGACGCCTTTTGTTCCACAATGGGGAGACGCCTCGTTAAAAACCTCGTTAGGAAAAAACCTTGTGGGAAAAAATCCTAATGAGGGGAAAAGAGTACACTGGATGCCCCCAGAATGAAGCAAAAGGAATGCACCCTTCGGCCTAGATCGTTGAGCGGTGGTTGTGTCCGTTAGCTGAGGGGATATCCAAGACGAGCCTTAGATCCTGCATGAAAAAGTTGAGAAGCCTGTAAGGACCCCCCGTTATGAAATAAAGGTGACGGAGGGGTGCAAGGCCAGGTGGGCCTGTGTGAGAGCCCCTGGCATCAAATACAGATGCCGGAGGGATGGAGGCCGAGGGGCCTGTATGATAGCCCATGGCATCAAATAAAGATGTCGGAGGGATGAAGGCCGAGGGGCCTGTGTGATGGCCCCCGACATCAAATAAAGATGCCGGAGGGACGAAGGCCGATGGGTCTGTATGATAGCCCCTGGAATCAAATAGAGATGCTGGAGGGATGAAGGCTAGGCCGAGGGGCCTGTGTGATGGCCCCCAACATCAAATAAAGATGCCGGAGGGATGAAGGCCGATGGGCCTGTATGATAGCCCCTGACATCAAATAAAGATGCCGGAGGGATGAAGGCTAGGCCGAGGGGCCTGTGTGATGGCCCCCGAACATCAAATAAAGATGCCGGAGGGATGAAGGCCGAGGGGCCTGTATGATGGCCCCCGACTTCAAATATTTGATGTCGGAGAGATGTAAGGCTGAGGGCCGTTGTGATGCAGAATCATGCTGAGGCCGAGGGCCGGGGATGTAGAATCACGTTTAGGTCGAGTGCCGTTCGTGATGTAGAGTCACGCTGAGGCCGAGGGCCGTTCGTGATGTGAAATCATGCTAAGGCCAAGAACGTTGTGACGTAGAGTCATGCTGAGGTCGAGGGCAACTATGATGTTGAGGCCGAGGGCCGTTGTTATGTGGAGTCACGCTAAGGCCGAGGGCCGTTGGTGATGTAGAATCACGTTGAGGTCGAGGGTTGTTCATGGTGTAGAGTCTTGCTGAGGCCGAGGGCCGTTGGTGATGTAGAATCACGTTGAGGTCGAGGAATGTTCGTGATGTAAAATCACGCTGAGGCCGAGGGCCATTTGTGACGTTGAGGCCGAGGGCCGTTGTGATGTGGAATCACGGTGAGGCCGAGGGCCGTTGGTGATGTGGAATCACGTTGAGGACGAGGGTCGTTCGTGATGTAGAGTCACGGTGAGGCCGAGGGCCGTTTGTGATGTGAAATCATGCTAAGGCCAAAACCGTTGTGATGTAGAGTCATGCTGAGGCCAAGGGCCATTGTGATGTTGAGGCCGAGGTCCATTGTGATGTGGAATCACGCTGAGGCCGAGGGCCGATGGTGATGTAGAATCACGTTGAGGCCGAGGGTCGTTCGTGATGTATAATCAGGTTGAGGCCGAGGGCCGTTTTATGATGTAGACTCATGTTGAGGCCGAGGGCCGTTCCTTGATAGTTCCGGGAGGCCGCGTGTTAGTCCTCCGGGTGTATGTTCCTTCTTTCAGGCTACGGCCGAGGGGGTTGCTTCCCCGCCTCGGCCGAAAAGGGGTCCAAGTGATCCGTCTGGGGGTTCGTCTGTTAGTCCCCCGGCGCTGGGCCATCCTTTGATTGTGTCAGGAGGTCGTATGTTAGTCCTCCTGATGTGTGTTCCTTCTTTCAGGCATCGGCCGAGGGGGTTGCTTCCCCGCCTCGGCCGGAAGGGGGTCCAAGTGATCCGTCCGGGGGTTCGTCTGTTAGTCCCCCGGCGCTGAACCGTCCCTTGTCCTTGGGGGGTCCCGTCGTCTATTTACGGCGCGAGCTAGGCTTGGTCAGTTTCCGACGACTGCCGTTTCACCCCCAAGTGTGGGGATTTCGTCACCTCAGCAATTCTTTCAGGCGTGTCGCCGTGCGTTGCGCACCGGTGATGTGGTGAGCGTCCCGCTCCAAAAATGCTAGCTTTTTACAGGCCCCTCGTCTTTAGACATCATTGGCCATGCCTGGGCATTTGGCCTCGAAGGGGCCGATAAGATGTCTGGGTTGTGTGGTAGTTTACTTAAATCCATATAAATAAGCGGAATACAAGGGGTGCGTTGTTTTGACAACGGCTTTGTTAAGATAAGTGGCTCGAGGCCGAGGGCTCTAGGCCGAGGGAATGAAAATGTGTCTCGAGGTCGAGGGCTCGAGGCTGAGACCGAGGTCGAGGGCGAAGAACATGATTCAGCGGAGGTGGCACTTCTTCGTCTGCGGCTCCTCGAATTCCTCGTCGTCGC